TTTACCATTTTCTCATATGCCTACTTGCAAGGAATCTTCTTTCTTCTGTTACCCTTTTTACCTTTTCATTCACTTCTGCTTTTCTGCAATTCATAGAATCCTAGAATGGCCTAGGCTGGAAGGGACCTTAGAGATCATTTTAATCCAGCCTAATTGTCTTCTGTCTTCCTGGAATCCTATTCTTTTTATAAATACCCTCTCTCAGCAAGACCAACTTCCTAGTGGGTATTAAACCTCCAGTGTAGCCTTCATTTCCTGAAAAAATATCACAGATTATAAGAGTGTTTGCAAGCCCAATAACCATTTTGCTCAATCTCAGGCAGCTACAGGAGATAAGAGACCTCAGGACTCTTACCTTACTGCAATAAGAAAAATAATGCTTTTTGTTCTTAAGCCATTTTTAGACTCTTGTCTTCACAGAGGGGGAAAAAACCTCAAACCTACCTCACTCTCCTTGATTTGCTGGCTATGCCTTGCAGATTTTGGTTGTGTTGCTTCCAGCTATAGTGCTGTGACATATTCTTTCTGACATTTCTGTGTTGCTGGATGCATTCTTCTACTACATGTATTACCCTGGGTACTTTACAGACTCTTTTCAGTGTTAAAAACTGATTTATGCTAGCTACAAGGAAGCTAACAGATAGATACGCAAGGAAGGAGTTTGGTGGAGGAGCAGCTTAAGCTGCTTCACCTGCCTTTTAAAAGAGCAAACATTTGGCCAAAAAGTACCTCTTCTTCACAGCCACTCTAGAACCAAGGTGTATAAATTCAAAAGTGTAATTTGAAAGTGCTTTCTTGTTTAGGGAGGACTTAAACCAGGACTTAAACTTGTTCCCTTGCACTTTAAGCATCTGGAACTGCTCAGTACAAAGAGCTCTCTGCAAGAAGGCTCCGATGCAGTCGGGAGGCTGAGATCACATTTGATCTACACATTCTGAGCTGGGCTCCTCAAGGAAATACAGAAGGAACAAGAACGTGTTTTTCTTTTTCCAATATTAATATTATACAGTGAATAAAGTGATACTAATATCGCCCAGTTAAAGCACTGCGTGTGTTAGCTGATGTATCCAATAATCCATAGCACTGTGACCAGTTCTGACTGCTGCATCAATTTCTGCTAAAAATAAATTAAAATGTCAAGCAGGAAGAAGAGAAAAAGCCTTGGAGAAGGTATTACTAAGCTCCTTACAATATTCAATATAAAGATGAAAGATCACTAGAACTAGTCAACAGAAAAATAAGAATATGCTCGGCAATACTTGAATCTCAATTCTTTGTTCATTGTGCTTGCAGATGAACAGACTTTTTAATTTCTGGGGACATTAATCATAACCTCCAGGGTCCACTGAGCATGTCTGAAAAAGATCTTCCACATTCTTTCCTCCACTCAGCAAGAATGTATTTTTTTTCAAATTTTTAACTTGCAAGAAATCTCGAAGTAAAACAAACTGTAAGAAGTGGTCAGTGTTGGGAGGCACTGCTTGAGAGAGGAATCTGAAATGGATTCTACTGTGCAGCTGTGTCAAATCTAAGCTGTGAAGCTGTAAAATTAGTGTTTAAAATCCTCCTGGCCCTACCAACCAAAGCCGTTGCTTTTCATACTTGGCTGCTTTTTTTTCTTTTTTTCTCTTGGTGAGATATTAGAAAGAATAGGCTCGCATTGACCGATGGGGCCCCTTGGTCCAGGTCTGTAACCAGGTGTGTAATTCCATACAACATCTGGTATTTTACACCTAGAGTTCCGTGGCACAGGGGTAAAAGCATGAGAGCAGTGATGCACTGCAAATCCAAACCAGTCGGTTAAAAAATCACATTGTAAGAGCATCCACGTGTCTTTCTCTAAATGTTCAAGAGAAGCTACCACGTCAATTCCACTAGTGATGTAAATGTAGAGTAAGAAACAGAACCTTGCTTACTGGAGGAGATGTTAGTAAATAGTTGCCACATAACTACTGCACTGCTGGCTCTGATGAACCTAGCGAAGGTGTCGGCTCCTGGCAGTCCTGAGGCTCATTTCTCACTGAGAACAGGTCAATCATGGAAATCAACAGAGATGACCGACTCTCTTACCTCAAGTTTAATTTAAATGCAGTTTCTGATATTATATTATCCTAACTGCTCTAAAGTGCCTTTTCTACCATTTCTGAGGCCGTTTACCAACAACGAACTGTGCTCAATGTCACAGCTGGTATTTTCTTAAAGCTCCTTTATAAATTAATCAGCTTTTTGCAAATTATCTGCTCATTAATTCTAGGTTCATGAAATCAAAGCTGTGCTATATTGCCTGGATAAGAGGTAAAGCAGTTTAAAGCAGTGAAACTCCCCTTAACGTGTTTTTGGTTCTTTTCTGCTTAAAAAAGATTCTACAACACTTAGAGGAATGCTTAAATAGGGAAGGAGATGTAATACGCGTATGTTGCAAACATAGTCAAGAGAAGGAAAAAACAAACTTGGCCAACCATTTGCATTACAAAGAGCCCTCAGTTAACTACTCAGATTTCCTGAGAGGTTGTTTTGCTCCAGTGCTTCAGCAGGGATTGTTTTTACAGAACATTACCTCTGACTGCTTTCTAAAGATCTTTCTCAGTGCTCCGGGCACCTGGCTGAGAAAATACTGTGTGCTTCAGAGGGAGAGAGAGAGAGGCAGAGACTCGAAAAGGAAGAAAATGAAATGTATCCTTCACAACGAAACTCTTCTTCAGCACCCTCACAAAACATTTTTACCAATCGTGGATCGTAACACTCCTCCGCCGATGAAAATCGGAGATTAAAAATAGCTTTCAAACGTGCATCTGTACGCCAAATGTTATTTATTTTGTGCATCTGGGACCTCTGCAGAGGTATGATCACAGCCCCTGGAGACCGACCTTGGTGTGAACATGCTGGGAGTGAGCCTCAGGTAATCCATTGAAATCCACATTACCTAAAACTCCTCAAGAAGCCAACACGATAAACTAACTCCCAAGTCGCATATTTATAGGATTTATTTCGTGCTAGTAGAAAAGGAAATCCTCAAGTGCCTGCCCAGATAACAAAAGCAAACCAGTAACATCAGTAAGAAGCTCTCAACTTCTCTCTTCCCCAGCTAAGCATCCGTGTGGACAACCTGGGAAACTGCAAATCTCCTGCCCTTTCAGAAGGAGGAAAGGAATGTGAATTCTTGCCTGCCTCGCCATCATGCGACTTTATGGCTTGTCCAGGAATTGCTTTCTATCCATGGGAACTTACACTGACACTGAGAATTGGCTAAGTCACATTCTATTCAGTCTTGAATAAACATTTTCTCTCTCTGGAGCCTCCAACAATATACATTAGGTAGATTTAACTGGACTGCTGGTAACTACTTCACACAAATTGATGCCCATCTTGTAAAAACCAGCATGGAGGCATTATTAAAATACCTCTATATTCCTATGGGTAAAATACGTCAGGAGAATGCATTGCAAATGAGTTATCCAAATTAAAAAGGAAGTTAAATACTGTCATTTTTAATTTCCTGGAAATGAACTGAGATGGAACACTGGAAGGAACTCTACAAAAAGGAAACCACTTACGTAGCGAGAAGCATGTATTTAATTAAATGCTTTGCAAAAATACATTAAGAAAGCTATGTGCATGACTTTCTTTAGGGATGGCCCCAGCTGTTTATTTATTTTTATTTTTTTAAAGGAACAAACAATAAAATGGGGAGAGCACAGATGCAATAAAGAAACAGACAGACAAAAAAAAAAATCAAACCACCTAAGTAAGCTTGTACCCACATACTTGACAAAATAAAGCATGGCAGTGGTACAAAACATTCTAAATACTGTATGACCAACAAATAAATGCAGTGTAACATTGTTCTCTCAAACAGCCTAACAGCTAAGCTCTGGAAATGACAGTGACAGGAGGCATCTCTATTTCACCGGCCTTCTACAGAGTTATTTAGCACCATCACTTTTTTTGTTGTTTCTGCCCTGCCTATCTCCTTTCTTGAAATAACGACGGAAGCGTAGCACCTTGTAATATCTAAAATAAAAACAAGACTATTCAATGCATCCCAACTTCCAGAAGTGAGGTAGCTCATGCTAAGAAATGATGGAACTTTCTTGCCCTGACGACTCGGGGCGAGTAAGTCTAATTACTGGCGATGCATGTCTGGATGTCAGCTAAATCCAAGGTATTTCTAAATTTTTTTTATTAAAAATTGGTCTGGAATACAGGTGAGTGATTTGCAACATACATAGATTGGCACCGTATATAAGACATCTGTATAATTTGCTATGTAATGGCTTCTTAGATGGGCAAGTATTGGAAAATCAACAAGTATTGGCTTTAAGACGTATTTTTGAAGATCAAGGATAATTTAATGGAATTACAAAGATCAGTTGTGAGAAGTGAAGTCTGGCCTTAAAAATTTAATAAATGGGACACTCCTACTGAAAACTCCTATTTATCCCAGTCATATTTTTACTTCATAAATTACTCATGGCTATGGAATACTCTTCTGAGCAGGAAAGTGCAGGAAAGACAAGGCCAAACTAAGGTGATCTTGTCTGAAGAGATTTTCTTCTACAAAAGACATAGATTTCTGCAAATGGCTATCCCAGTGGCAACCACAGGAAGACAAACTGGGGTAGAGGGAGAAGGTGTGATTGAAACATAGCCAACAGTTCACAAAAGTGCTCTACTTTTCTGTTGTCAGTATGCATCCAAGCAAAAGAAATAATCCTTAGAGCTTTATGTAGTCTCACGTTAAAACTATTTTGAATACCTGTAAATTTCAAAATAATTGGGAAAAAAAAAAAAAAGGAAAAAGAATCACGTTAATTTTTAAAAGGTGGCCATCGATCTCCCAAAACTGCAGTGTTGCTCTAAAAAGATGATTTTGACCATTTAAAACGGAAGGTTTGTAAGTAAAATAAATATTCCAAAAGGAGGCCGGGCACTCAAAAAGAATCGTATATACAATGCTGATCCAGTATCAGCCATTACTTCAAGAGTCTCAGGATTAACTTCAACCAGTCTAAGTCCACGTGTTGAATTGCTGCTGTTGCCAGGTGGTGTGTTAACTTCCCCCCTTCCCTTACACAAAGCAAACTGGCCCGATTTCAACTCCAAACTCCTGGTCGGTACCGCCAACGTCCACCGGTGCAATGTCTATGATGGGTAAGCGTGCCACGTTCTGGGTTCTGTACTCAAAAACAGTCTTGCCCATGTTCCCATTGCGTTTCTGGAAAAAAAGGAAAAAAGAAAGAGAAAAATTTAGGCCAGAGCTCATGGCAGAAGCAGCCTGAATTCCAGCTGGCAAAACAGTCTTCGGTAAGCAACACCTCCCTGCCTGTGCTGCACTTTGGAGATTTTAAAATGCGTGTGTCTTGCTTTTGCAGGGAGGAACAGAGCCGTCAGATTGACATAGTGGGATTCTCCCCTCGAGCTGGATGGATTTTTCTTGATGTTGCAAAAGGTGTTAATGCGTGCCAGCGCACATATCGCGGGCTATCCTACTTGAAAGCAGGGAGTATTCTAATTTATTTCAACGGTAATTTTAGAAATACTTTGCCAGCATCTTGGACTTGGCTGAAAACACTACCGAACATGAAAAAAAAAAATACTACTCGCTATTTTTATGCCTACTAAGGATTTTTAGGGGGAATATTTACCTTTCCAACCCAGTCTCCTCCAGCCTGTTGCTGCAATAATCTCACCCAGCTGGCAGACAAACGCTTGAGGTTATCTGACAAATTTGTGTGATGTCACACAGAGGTAAATGCAAAATGGCAAGATAACATATCTCGGTACGCTCACTAGTAAGGAGCAATTTGTAAATACCCTCTAAATAATAAATACATAAATACATAAATAAATACCTCTCTACCACGTGACTCTCTAGAATTGTAGTAAAATACCTAGTTGATCAGCTGCTTCTACAATTAACAACCAAGTTCTGCAGCGTTTTAATTACTTCCTTCCACGGATTCCTTTTGAAATCAAGGAAGAACTGAACAAGGGAAAAAGACCTTTTTCTCCATAACACATGTCAACCCCACCCAAACTTACAGAACAGCTGTCGTGAAGAACGGTGTATCTGAATCGGCTGTTTCCTTCTGCTTTGATCTCCAGGTCGTTGGCCCCTTTCAGAATCACAGCTTTTTTCAGGTTCTTCGTCTGGTCATCCATGTACCCGACGCTGTTTTTACAAAGGTAAGTGATATTCTGGGAAGCTTCCTTCGATAGCAGGCGCAGGAATGTCATCTGAGTGACAGCTGTGTCCCCATACACAAACTGTGAATATAAAGAAATAGAGCTGATAAGGGCATCACTATTTTAACACACGAGTACTTAAATTATTCCCTATGTCCTTAATTTAAATTATTTCCTACAAAATAACAACTGATAATTTTTCCCGCAGTTTTGATTTGATGACCTAGGAATAAAACCAGCAAAAAGTTCATTAATTAATTAATTATATGCTTTGCACAGCATGAGCTTCTGTTATTTGGCAAAAGCATTAAGCCTACTTTTAGAAGTTACCACAGAGGGAAAATCTGACAGAAAGCTGAGAGTAGAATTTTTATCTGCCTGGACACGGATGCATTCAGCACAGAGCATCTGACACATCTGATGACAACAATACATTTTTTAAAATGGATTAGCAGAGAGAATTTATAAAGTCAGCTTTATATTTTCTAGCTTTCTGGAAAAAAAAGGGACTGAATTCACTTAAACCAGCAGTGATTTGAATCATGTTTTAGGGTAAAAGTATACTTTTTAAAGGCAAGGATAGTGAGTCACTGAAGTACAGGGCAACAAAAGTTGAAGTTTTTGGCATGAAGAGAAATAAATCTCTTCCAGCAACAGAAATTTAGAGCCAATCCTGCCTCAGATGTGCTTAAACTGTTTCTCCCAGCTCTTTCCTACAATTGCTGTATGATAAGAACCAACAGAACATTAGCCAGCCAATCGATATTTATAATGTTCTGACTGTAGCAGAATCTGCTCAGAACAGAAGTTATAAACCAGAAGGGAACAAATTTCACAGAAGTCCATTCTGGACATCAAATTTATTTAGTTACCTGTGATCCCCTGTTCATATCGAGGCCATACCAAACGGGCTTTACATCAGCAGACTTGCTGGCCCACCAGGTTTTACGGGGTATAGTAGACGGGTTTGCAGAAATACAGGTCTCTCCAGTTTCCATGTTGCAATACACTTTTATAGCATCCTCAACACATCCCTGGTTAGGATCAATCCAATATTCACCTACAAAGAACATAAAATGGGATTCTGTTACTCAGATTCTTGTAATAACTGGGGGGGGGTGGTGAGCTCAGTCGGTTGGAGCGTGGTGCTGATAACACCAAGGCCGCGGGTTCGATCCCCGTTTGGTCCCCATGTGTTGCCTGATCTAGTTGAGACGCATCGCTGCCCATGACAGGGAGGGTGGATTAATTGATCTCTAAGGTCCCTTCCAGCCTAAGCCAGTCTAGGATTCTATGATAAAGAACACAAAGGCTAGAAGACAGTTTTCCCTATGTCTGAGAAACTGCTGGCAGCCCCTCTTAATGCTGACTTTGGAGGCAAAGCTTCAGGAAATGGGGGAAAAAGCTGGTAAGGCTTGCCACAAATGATCTCTACCTTCCAGTCCATTCTGATTTATCACTGGCAGTCCACAGAAATTAGGGAAAGCCCTAAATGTCATGTTAACACCTACGAACTGCTATGGAGCAGCAGCAGAGAACTCTGGCTGGAAAATCCTCACAGGTAATGTTTTGAGCTCATAGCAATTAAGCAAATATTCCCAATGAGTATGTCACCAGGGAAGTGGTAATCCGTGGGGAAAACACTTTCAGAAGTAGTGTTCCGCAGAAGTACAAAACCTTTCAGATTTTTAAAATACATCCCAATAAACAAACACGGGCTACGTTAGCATATATGCCTCATGGGCAAGAAGTTTTCAAGTTCCTAATGCGAATGTCAATTTAAACCACTAAATCTGCATTACAGGTTTTTTCCAGTGACCAAATGTCTACTGGAAAAATGATGGAATCACAGGGCAGCACAAAAAGGAGATGGTGTATTGATACACACCGCTCTTAAACTTCAGGTCATCACACGTTCGTGCTGGGTGTTTCTTTGAGCCATCTGGGCTGCGCATAGTCTCAATCTGGCTGCTCAGTGACTTCAGTGTGGCGTGGACCCCTGGGTCTGTTTTATTATGGTCATCTGGGGCTGCTTCATCTTCAGTAAACTCTGGAAGCGGATCTGCCATAGCATCATCATAGTGTCCCATGATGTCACCAAGGGCAGCAGTGAGATGGCCTGGAGGCCCTGGAGGGCCAGGGGGGCCAGGATCACCCGGTGGACCCTAAGGTTAAAATAAAAGGCAGCAGAGGCACAGCAGAGTAAATACTAAGCAAAATGATAGCAAAGCCAGCCACAAACACCCTAAACTTCACAGCCGTTGACTCTAACACACAGGGAATATCCAGATAGACATAAAAAAGTCACATTTCCACAAACAGGGGTAAGAGAATAGAACTGCCTTAATGGAAGGCACGTGTTGGAGAAACCAGATCAAATCTTACCATTTTTCTTGAGCTCATGAACGTTTTGAGAAAGTGATGCAAAAAATCCCGTTATTTGCAGGTAAACTTTTCCCTCCGTGTTCCCGTCAACTCACCTCAGGTCCAGCTTCTCCTACACTCCCTCTAACACCAGGAGGTCCAATCGGCCCAAGAGGACCAGGACTCCCATCTTTGCCAGAAGGACCAATGGGGCCTGGAGGACCCTAGAATATATAGGAGAAAGAAGTAATCTAGTTTAACTTTTTATAAAAGTTGTACAAAGTTATACAAACCAGCCCTTCGCAGGCAATATCTTCTCAGGAATCAAATGACCTTTTTATCTAGTTATAAAGCTGGTCAAAGCTTTACTGAATTAAACATGATGATGTGTCTCAGCAAAAGATAATAAGGTAATCACGAGAAGAAACTGAAGTCAGTAAAAGCCAGTGAAAGAGAAATGAAGCAGAAATAGAAATGTGATTGTGATTAAAAAAAATTTTAAAAAAGCAAGAAAAACCTTAAACCTGAAACATACTCACCCGAGGCCCAAAAGGGCCTGGAATGCCAGGACTGCCCTGCTCACCAATAGGACCCTAAACAGAAGAAATTATGCCATTACGACATTTAAAACATATTCCTTGAGTTTTAAGGAATCAGTGTGTGATACACACAGTTCTTTATGAACAGGCTTATAATATACACAAACAACAGGTAGTACCTTTCCCTCTTGCGATTCTTTTTCTTTTATTGCTTTTCTTGCTGTTTTGTCACAAAACCAGCAACAACTATAATTATAATTTAAATTAACAGAATGAACTGGTGCCTGGCGATATATTAAGTTGTTTCTACAGAAAAGTCCTGCTTTCGTGACATTGAAAATCAGACTGGTTTATAAAAGAGCAACTTGCAGCACTGTTACGAAGTGGAAAGATGCTTTGAGTGTTGGAGTTTTCATGTCAAAACTCCCAGATCTTACACAGGATCAGTGAAGAAATGTAAAAAAAAGTTTTCCACGGCATTCCCACTCAAGTGCCACTGAAATCACTAAGCTCTTGCAAGTATTAGCAAGATATACGATCCTCGTGGTATTTTGCTCTTGATTCCTTAATGGTAAAGAGTTTGAATATGGGCAAAAAAAGCATTTCACACTCTAAGATGCTCATTTGAACCAATCAGCTTCTGTTATCATCCTGTGCTGATAGGTGACAGACTTCCAATGACTGGTCACTGCAGGACTGGCACAAATGGAACCAGAGCAGGAAAACACGTATCTTGCGAAGCACAGGTTTACACATTTAATTTAAAATTGCCTTAAAAATATTAGCAAGTACAGATGGCCATGCCACTCACAAACACCTCGTGGGGAAAAAAAAAAAAAACAACTCATGTTTGCTTTTCTTCCCCCTCATTTTAAATAACTATTTTCCTGACACGTTATTTAACTATCAAGGAAGTAAAATTGCAGTAGAAACAGAATGACTTACAGGAGGACCAGGAAGACCTTGAAGCCCAGTGAAACCCCTGTGGCCTTTCTGGCCCCTATCGCCTCGATCTCCATTGTCACCTTTGTCACCACGAGGTCCTTGGGGACCCTGTAAATATCAGAGATGGAATATAAAATTCTGAACTGGAAAAAAAGCAATCCCAACCTCAAACCCCCTTCACTTGCACTTAGACACTAAATTCAGGCCTCCTTCACTTCTAAAGGAGGTGATGCTGGAGCAGCTCCAAGAATCTTATTTTTTTACCAAAGAATAAATAATTATGGAAAACTGTGTTGTGATTAATTATAGTTGTGGCAAATTTAGTCTATTCAGCTTCATGATGCAGTCAAAAAGAACTCGTAATAATCACGCTCAAGAACTTACACAAATTTTTTAAGATTAAGAAATTTCTTTGCCTTACTAGATATGGCAAATGATTTTCATAGATGTGAGAGATTCCCAATATTCCAACCTCAGACTCATAATAATAAAATTTATTTTCAGTACGAAATCCTCCATGTTGCATTTTTTTACTTCTCACAGCTCCTTTCACCTTCGCTACAATTGAAGTGTAAGTGAGGATACATTCCCTAAATACAGACAAAAAATCAGGCTCCCCAGTCCAAATGGCTTGGTTTTGTTCCCATCGCAATTTCATTCTTAGTCCTTTTGACAGTTTCACGCTTTGCATACTGATTCAAGAATCATTGGATAAAAAATGGCTTCTGCTTTCAATTCTCTATTTCTCAGCCCAAACTGCATGCAAAATTTCTCAGTGCTAGATTCCACATAGTTTATCAATGGCATCACTATCGCCAACTGCTCAATAAACTTTTCCTGTCTCTCAGATGACATCTGCTTAGGGACAGGACAACATTCTTTTCAATTTCCCAAGTTTGTAATTAATTCTTGTTCCAGGCTTGGATTGTAAATGAGTTATGCAACACACAAAGAACGGGGTTTGTTTGTTTTTCCATTTGGGCTGAAGTCAGAATCTCATGAGCTGAATTAGGGCAGTTGCATGGGAACAGGTGATCGTGTTATATTTCTGCCATTTCTATCTAAGTATCTGCAGTTTTGTTCAGCAGTCATTTCTTCTCCTATCTGAATTGTCAAACACGGACTCCAGCCATTTTCTAACTAAGTCGGGCTCTACCATCATGCAGACAGCAACACACTCCAAATAAAGAGGCTTCCAAAGCATTTGCTCTTTCTCTGCAAATTAAAATGGTGTAGAAATACTCATGTAGTCAGATTTTCACAGCTTTGCAGCCCAGAAGACTACCTGCAGCCACACCACTGAAAGCTGAAGCCTTGTTTGCCATTCTAATTTGGGCTCAGCTTCTCACACGCTTTCCTCTAAAAAAAAAAAAAAAGTATCTCAGATAAAACCACGATGACCACGGAGAACTTACAAGCAAACCTCTTTTTCCTGCACGACCTGGGGGACCCATGGGACCTCGAGAACCCTGCGATAATTGCGTAGAGAAGAGACGTGAAACAATGCACAAAAGCATACACGGTAGTTTTTTGATAAACAAAGTAATTTTTTTCACACAAAAAGAAGTCTCACTTACTGTTTCACCTCTTTGCCCTGCATCTCCTGGAGGGCCAACAGGTCCTGGAGCTCCTGGACCTCCTGGGGAACCTGGTAAGCCTGCAGGGCCAGGTTCTCCACGATCACCCTGCAAAACATAATTTCAACATTATTTAAGGGGACTGGACTAGACTCTAGCACTGCTGATCTCTTTTCTAGCAACTGCAATCTACTAAGATACTCCGTAAGAAGTTGAGTTTGAGTTTGCGGAGGCAGGTGTTCTTAGCTTCTTCAGGCTTCCTGAATTTTGAGAGGTACTACTTATTCAGAGCTGTGATGTGCTTTCACAATAATTTGTCTATTCAAGTGAATCGAATGAAGAGAAAATCTACACTAAGTCAATGAAAAACCAGAGATTTTCAGGAGTTACTTAAGAGTATATATCCTTACACGTTCTCCAACAGCTCCGTCTCGTCCGGGGGTACCATCGTTACCAGCAGGTCCCTAGAGGTATGGAATAAAAAGAGGGCTATTGATTAGCTCTGTAATCTTACATCTCTGTAAGAAGAACTAGAAAGTTTTTCTCCACCTCTAACTTCAAGTCAAGGAGAATAACCACTACACTGTCTTTTTCTTTCATGTTATGAGGTTCTAACACTTACTTCTGGACCAGCTTCACCTACAGGTCCAGTGGCACCTGACTGGCCAATAGGTCCTGGTGGACCTTTATCCCCAGGTGGTCCCGTGGGACCCTGTTTTCCTGGTGTACCCTAAAAAAAAGACAAGAAATATTATATCAAAATTTTAAGCACAAAACAAAGAAAGCCCAAAAACGGTGCTGCCTGAGAAACACTACTCATTAATCCAGTCTGAAGTTAAATCAAGATTTGTAGCTTCAGAAAACTCAATAACTAAGGAAAGTTATCTGAGAGGTTTTGAATACATATTTGAATTTATATTTAATACACTGCATATTTTTAAGCAGTTTAATTGGGTTAGTTGCTTTGGAATAGGCTTCTATTGACTAGAAGCTGCACTTGGAAGTTAGTCTGGTAGCAACACACTCCCTTGATGTATGAATATGTCTGATGGTATTATCTGCAACAGCCGAGAACTTTTTGACTCTGGGAAAATTTAATGCAGTTTGAAATAAATAGCATGTTTGTAGGGTTTTTTTGTCTGTCTCAACACCAACAATTCTTGTTAACCTTGGAATAATTCAGGCCAACTTTAATTATAAATTGACTTTATGGATCTAGTGGTAATGGTAGATCCTCCACATCATCCATTTTAATAACAGTCTTGATCTCCTGGATCATTAGGCTTTCCAACAATTATAAATCTTACATGAAAGCAAAGAGAGCACATACGGCAATTTGGAAGATGGTAGTTGACAATTTATGAAATAGCAGTTACAGAGTATTTCCTCACATTCGAGTGACCTTTGGGTACCTAAATAGTCTGGGGTTGTTTTTTTTTTTCTTCAAGTATCCAGTTTTCAACCAAATAGGAACATTTCAGCCAGAAGTCTTCATGCTATTACCCACTTACTCCTAATTCAGGTTCAGAACAGACACAAAACCTCCCACCTCAGGCATCTGCATGAAGATTTAGTTATTTCCGATTCTCTCCTGTAACTGGAGTTTTCCAGCTTTCTCCCCACGCTACGGGGCACTCTGCTTCCTACCCCAACAGTGAGGGTGCTCAAGGTTGGCAGCACGCCAGCTTGGGCGTTACTTACCGCGGGGCCCGGCAGCCCTGGCATGCCCCTTTCCCCTCGCTGTCCTGGCATGCCAACAATCCCTCTTTGACCAGTTGTTCCTGCAGGACCGGGAGGACCATCTGGGCCCTGAAATCCATCAAGAACAATGTTACCGTCATTTCCATAGCCATAAGTGTAAGCAACGAGGGTTGGCCTAGGGAGAAATTGTCACGTCAAGGAGGACGTACTGGCTGCCCGTCTTCTCCGGCATCACCCTTGTCTCCAGGACCACCAGGAGGTCCAGCTGGCCCGCGGTCTCCCACACGGCCGTGAGAGCCAGGATCTCCACGAAGACCTGGGGGACCTTCTTTTCCTGGCTCACCAATTGGTCCAGCAGGCCCCGGAGCTCCCTAAGGAGATTAAAACAGCTCGTTACGTTGGCCCTTCTGATTGGGACAATTAAATTCTAAGGACTGTGTCTTGATTACCTATAAACATGCAAACTCTAAGGAAAGCCCACTGTGAGCTAAGAACTACAATCACCTCATTTATGATCAAATAAATGAGATGAAACACCACCTCATCAACTTACATCCAAGCTCCACCCCATTCCTCGCAATTTGCAATTCCAAACTCCCTCCTTTAAATGGCACTCTTTCATCTTTCTTCTCTTCTCTTCTCTTCTCTTCTCTTCTCTTCTCTTCTCTTCTCTTCTCTTCTCTTCTCTTCTCTTCTCTTCTCTTCTCTTCTCTTCTCTTCTCTTCTCTTCTCTTCTCTTCTCTTCTCTTCTCTTCTCTTCTCTTCTCTTCTCTTCTCTTCTCTTCTCTTCTCTTCTCTTCTCTTCTCTTCTCTTCTCTTCTCTTCTCTTCTCTTCTCTTCTCTTCTCTTCTCTTCTCTTCTCTTCTCTTCTCTTCTCTTCTCTTCTCTTCTCTTCTCTTCTCTTCTCTTCTCTTCTCTTCTCTTCTCTTCTCTTCTCTTCTCTCCTCTCCTCTCCTCTCCTCTCCTCTCCTCTCCTCTCCTCAGGTGCACAACTACCGCTAGAAAATTCTCTCTTGCCTGTCCTTTCCATTGTTATCAAGCTAAAGTCCATATTCCAGCTTTTCATTCATGTTGTACAAATTAGTGTTTTAACGGACTTCTGCTCATTTCTCAGATACTTTTAAAAGACTTCACACTTATATTTTGTTTTTCATAAACTTCATCTTTTGATGACTCATGATCGCAAGTTATTTTTCTCATCAAAACATTAAAAGGCCTTTCAAGAGTGTGCCACAGCTCCCTGCATGGAAATGGATCCCCACTTGGTGATCCACAGATAATTTTATCTTCCTTTTTTAGTGTTTATGAAAATATTTAAACACAATTTTGTGGTTGTTTTATTTTGTAGTTTGGGGGGGGTTATGTATTTTAATGGATTGGTTTTATTTATTTTAATGGATCTTATGTGTAACTCCACCAATGAGATAACACCGTAGAGGCTTCTTCCTTTTCTAAAAACTAACTTCACCACTGAAGAGAAAAAAAATAAAAAGTACAGGAAGATAGAGGTGGTTGTTTTGTTCCCGTAAGCAACATTAGGAACATGACAATTGACTTACAGTAGGTCCTGGAGGCCCAACTCTTCCAGCAGATCCTGGGAACCCAGTAGCACCCTATAAAACATTTTTGTGACAACTTTATTAAAAGAAATACAGCACTGATTACCTTAAATGTTCTCAGATAAATTGGTGAGTGCATGTTACAGTTACAGACTGCGAAAAACAAGCTGAGATGAGGAACGATACACATATTACATAAAATCCAGGATTAGATTATCTGCAGTCAAGTCACAGAAAATTAAATCTACTTACAGGTGGACCCTGAGTTCCTCGACCACCTTTCAGACCAGGGACACCTGAAGGGCCCTAAAATAAAAGGTGAAAGAGAGGGACGACAGTGAGCACCCTGGACATTTTATATAAGCAAGCTCAGCTTATGCCACCGGGTCTCTGAAGATGTCATTTCTACTTACTGGTGGACCAGGAGACCCAGCAAGACCCTGTGGTCCTGGAGACCCAGCATCTCCTTTCTGTCCAGGTTCTCCAGGTTCACCTTTCACACCTGGCTGACCATCAGGGCCCTATAAGAAGAAATATTTACATGAGACATCAGGTCAGAGAATACCAGATCTTTCCAGCCCTGCAGGGTAGTTTTGTAGGGAATATCTAGAAGGCACAAAATAACAGGAGAACAAATCAGCCAAGAGAACGATGCATTTACTTGATGGCTCAATTCAAAAGAACTGTAATGGTTCAGCATAGATTTTTTTTTCCCTGAAGTCTGTGAAATCAGCATTTCCATTAAAAATATCGTCTTATCTAACTCATATTTTTCTTTCTTTTAGATTTTTTGTTTTCCTCAGCAGCTAAGAGCAAAAGGGACTGAACAAACATTGCCTTTTCTATTCTGTTTATTTTATTTCCACCAGTGCCTGACCCTTTGTGAAAGGTGTGAAGCACTTAGGCTGGGGGAAAATTTGGGATATTCACTGGAAAACTCGCTTCCATTTGGTTCATCAATTCATTCCAGCCTTCACTATCCATAGAGCAAATCTTCACTACCTTTATAACTTGTCTCATTTTAATCTCAAAGGAGCCACATAGCATATTCAGGAAAAAATGAAATCTGGTGATAAAACTACGCAATCTTAACAAAACCACTTTTCAAGTCTCTAAGGTATATACTGGCCCTTTTCTTTACTTGATATGCTGATGGGAAAAAGAAACAGCTCTTTTTTTCAACAAAAATGTGATTTATGGTCCAGAACATTGCAGTATTATTCATAACGAAGGAAATCAAGTATGTCAAAGCATGGCTAAAAGAAACTCATTAGTGTTACAAAACACATACCGGAGGTCCAGCAAAACCAACAGCGCCAGTTGGGCCATTTTCTCCTCGGGAACCCTGGTCAAAAAGTTTGAAATAATCATATTTAACATAAAAGTCTTTCTATATACAGCATAATTTGCAGTTAAATGTACAAGAAAGGAAGTTAATTCTTCACTGTCGTAAGCATGATTGTATTCTCACCCTATTAATCAGGCTCAAATGATCTTTTAATCACAAAATGAACAAAGTTAACTATGGTGTTAGAACCTGCCATGCATTCCAGGCTATATGTATACTCTCAGAACTTAGAGATGGAAAGCTTGTGCAAGCACTAACACCACAATAGGAGAAATTCTGCTCACAACCACTTCCCACGATAGGAGGATTAGCTGAAGCACACAAACGTTATGCAAGCCACCACTCCGAGTCAGATAGACCAGAAAAATAAAGAATAGTTCTAAGCTGTATTCTTCCACAAGGCCAAAGGGGCTATGAGCTGCTTCAGGGGAGCTTTCCACGTAACGTTTGTCTGGAAAAGGAGCTGGCTGAAGGCTGCCAAGCTCCAGCACTCCCCAGAGAGGTGGAAGCTATTCCAGTTTACACTGGAAATGAGGCTGGTCTGATTTATGACAGAGATGTAATCAATTCCAAGCAGTATTAAGGATCTAGAAGGGCTGAACCTCTAACTCCCTAATCAAAGTGGACAGCATCAAGACTACAAAGCAAGGGGAAGAAAAAGATGAAAATTTAGCAGCAAACGACACAAAACCTGGAATTTGGATCAGCATTAGATATTGGTAAGGTGTGCCAGGCAAAAGACCGAACATGTTAACTCACAGGGTTTCCACGGGAGCCGGGAGGACCAACTAGACCTCGAGGACCTGGTTCACCCTTAAAATAAAATTAAAAGTTATTTCCTGAGTAACTTATTAGACAAGTAGCAAAAGTGCCAATGAAGTACAGTAATATTAAGAAACTTCAGCAGGCAATGGCATATAAATCTGTTTACCTTTTCACCGGTGGGACCTGCTGGACCCATTGGGCCTATTGGACCAGGAAGACCCTTTGGAAGAAATGAAGATAAAGGAAGTTAAAAAATAAATGCTTCAAAACTCTTAGTTTAAAACTTCTCATATGTTACTACTTCCATATGCTTTTTCATTCCTTTAAATCCTTCTCCTTTATCTCTGAAATATTGCCGAGACTTTTTTATCCCAAATTTACTTGCACTTCCTCTCTTCCCTTGGATACCAAAATCCCAACATCTCAAATGCCTTCCTTCATTCTGTCTTTCTTCACAAACTTCATCTTCTACTTATTCATCTGTGCCTATGAACAAGGCCAACGATAAAAAAAGCCCTGGCTTTATTCTGCTCTCTCATGAAGAAGCAATGACCTTTTTTCCCCACTTGCACAGAAGCTTTCTGTTTGTTTTATGTTAGCATTTCATCGCTTAATTTTAATGTGTCCATCATTACTTCTGAAGATTAATTTCATTTTTCTCTTCATAGGGCAGTTAGGCAGCACTATTCATATATTACCTTCTTTACTATTTAGATATTCCAGTTCTGATTCTCCTTCACTAGAAGCAGAGTGCCACAAACCTGTACCAAGTTTCTCTCAAACAAAACTCCCCCTCCCCCAAAAATCTGCACTGTAACTCAATTCAAAGTGAAAGGAAATACAAAAAAGACAACATTAATGAAGGATATTGTGTCACCATCAATGCTGTAGCGATGGATAGCAGAGAGAGCTACAGATATTTAGCTTTAGAAGAGGGAGGTACCATTACTTTATCTACTCAGTAGTTACTGTAAGCTGTCACCTTACAATAACTAAGAACTGTTCTGTATCTTTGGATACTACCTGACTTACAAAGAAATTACAGCTCAAACCTGCTAATTGCGAGTTAGCTCTTCCGTGTGCCAGGGTGTCTCCCAAAAACTTCTCCTCTTTAACTAGAAATTTATATCCAGTCAGAATCCTAACCTTTCCTACATATCTCTGATTCCCAAATGCCCAGCAGTTAGTACTCCAACCAGTTTGCAAACCCCAAGAATCTCAGATAGATGTGATTTACAAAAACACTAACTCCAACAGCTTCTGGGAAGAAAACACAGTCAGCGCATGTACAGCAAACCCAGGACATTTGGGATTATCGCAGAGCTGGTCTATGCAGAAGCATAGGTGCAACATGTCTTGAATCTATCAGATTTATTGCATGTGAGGAGACCAAGAATCAGAACTGGGGGGTTTGCTTTTTGGCTGTTGACCTCTGCCTGTCTCTTTTTTTCATGTTTTTTCATGTCAGCTTGGCAGAATCCCAAAGGAACACACCACTTCTAGGAATCCTTTCCACTGACATCTTAACTCCCGTTATTGATTATACGAAACACAGACTTGGAACACAGACATCCCAGAACATGGTGCACAGCAGTCCTGAAAAACTCGAAGTCCAAATTTGGAGAGTAGTGGGTGAGAGCACGCTAAAAAGTACAGTGTGTGGAGAGGAAGTCAAAAAAGAGCGATAGATTTACTTACTCTTGCCCCGTCGTTACCAGCTGTACCTTCAGCGCCTTTCTCACCTATGCCGCCCTGCGGAAAATATCAGGAAATTATCAGTGGCAACGCTGAGGAGCTGATACCCTGGTTAAGAGACGGGTGATTTCACCCAGCTCCTCAGAAATAACCAGACTTACCCTATCACCCTTGGGGCCTGGGGTTCCAGCAATCCCTCTCTCTCCAGGCATACCTTGAAGACCCGGCGGTCCTGGATCTCCAGGCGTCCCACTTGGTCCTGGGCTTCCCTGAAACAAAGAAATTACAAGTTGCTGCCTATTCATCTAAGAAGTATCTTTGTGTCTGGGCTGCGGAACACACTGTGCCTGTGTTGAAGTCTCTGGGGCACAGATTTAAGTAATAATTTTCTCTTGAATTTGGACTTTATTCACGTCCAAATACTTTTCTTTTCCCATTGTGTTACTCAGGAAGTTCAGTTGTAACACTGCAGTCCTTCCAAACACATAACTATTTACTCAGTGCATACTGAGGATCAGAACAGGCAAAAAAAAAAAAAAGGAAGCTCAAGCATCTTTCCACCTTTACCTTGATGTCACGTGGCTTTATTACACAAAGTAGCTACAAGCAGAAGTTGCCAGAGGCAGAGATTCTTTAGTTAGGCTTTGCTTCTCACCACTCCCATCTATTACAGGTCCCACATTACTAGAAGCAGTCCCTAAGTGAGGTGACCTTCCTAGGCCTAATTCAATCAACCACAGGTGAAGGAAAGTTTTCAGCATTTTCTTTTAAACACTCAACCCTGCCAAGTGTCTTGTGTAAACTGACATGGCTCTTAAAATATTCCTAGAGGGTTTTCTGCAGTTCTGAAATGGCTTTGCCCAGTTCTGCTGTGAAACACAAAAACCATTTTAAACTTCACACCTATATAAATTAATATAAAATGTGATTTCTCAACATTTAGGTATCTTGCAAGTTATTAATATGGTTATACTGGAATAACTTGTGTAACTAGAACCCTTATACAAACAAGATACTTTTCATTAAAAGATACTCCTTTTATAATAAAAAAGCTCTTTCTTAAGTTCCTGCAAATGAGCAGAACGATGCATTTCATCACTGCAGAAACACGAGTCTCCGTTCAGCTTACCTTTGGGCCATCAGGACCGTGACCTCCAGCCATACCCTTTTCACCTGGGAGTCCTGACGCACCTGGTTCTCCCCTTTCCCCCGGATTGCCACGTTCTCCCTACAAAATGGAAAATTATTGCTTATGTAGATGTCAGAGTACAACTCTGGTAGGCAAAATCCTAAATAAGTGCAGCACCACTATTTGAACAAAGAGACTGTGAACAAATTCTAGGAGAAGTGATAGGGAAAAAAAAGAAAACAACCAAAAAAGCCCCAACTTTATGCTTGTATTTTTAAAAGTAGAGGAAATTGCCTGTTGCTCAGCAAACTAAAATCTGTCATTTCACAGCTGTAAACCAAACCATTTAGCAGCTAGTACTCAACAGCACTTCACGAACTGCAAAACCACTAAAGATGGCAGGTTTTACAGAAACTTACTTAAAACACATCCATGTTTACAACCATTTTGTTGATGGGGATAAAGTCAGATATTCTCTCTAACTCTTAAAGTCCATCATAAATATCAGTTAGGAATGTTGAAATTCTGAAAGAAAATACCTACCCTAGGGCCCAACGGACCAACAGCTCCAGGATCTCCAGGCACACCCTAGGCAGAACAGAACTCACCATGAGAATGAAAATATTATTCATAGCCTTTTAGTTAGGGAAATTAGAGATACACGTTTTTATTTCCAAACTAATGTTAATACAGATGGCTAGTTCCAAATATTATCTGTCCATGACAAAGAGGATACAGTCCAACTCAGACTAAGAATATGGTCAGATTCTAGTAATTGTTTTATCCAAAAGCAGTTCTCAAACCACATCAGTACACATTTCTAAACAGAGTGGGGAACTAAGTTCTTCAAAAAGGTAAAATGACTTTATGAAGTGAATTCTTGCTAAATTACACAGAAATTACCTGGTCACCTGGCTTTCCTCCCTCACCTGGAGGGCCTGGTGGCCCAGGCAAGCCCTGTAAAAAAGGCAAATAAGACGGTCATTAACATGACAGAAAAATATGTAAATCCAGGTTTAATTAAGACACCAAGAATATGAAGGTAGTACTGTACTTAGTGCAGGAGTATGGTCTCTGAGATCCCTGAAAGAAACAGTTATGCAAATATTTCACCAAAGTGTTCCTCCTCTAGATGGGATGGTAGCCCTTCTTTAACGTTTCTAGGACATATGTGTATCAGCTCTAAAAATAAAGTTCCCTATAAACGGAGATCAACTTAATTAATACTTCATTATCAAAACAATTCTTTGGCTCTGTGTTCAGAACATCTTTGGAAAATCTCCAAATTAAAACCAAAAACCAACAAAGGTTTTCTCAAGGGATACAGAGCTGGTATTTAAGGCTTTGCCAGTTCAGCTGAGCACACGGCTGCAGGGAAAGCCAAGTACCACTAATTATTCTGAGCAGCATCGCCTTAGTTCTGAAGCTGTGCTTTGTTAAACTACACTTGATTGCATTTCTCCACTGAAGAGACAGCTGTTTGTTGTGTTTTAAAAAAGAAACAAACACATAAATACACGTACCTGAAAACCTGTAGGGCCTGGGGGACCTTGTTCTCCTCTTTCTCCAGCCAGACCCTACACAAAAGAAAGTAACAAGCATACAGTAGAGGAATATAGGCAGGGTCTACAATTTTTCTTCTCTCTGACTACGTATATTTTCAATTATCTGTTTGTTCATTAGATATTTTTAGTTACTCCAGGCCAAATTATACCTTATCTAAAAGATGCAATAAGAGATATCTTATTTCTTTAAGATCCCCTCCCTAGAACTTCTGTTCTGACAGGAAAACACTCAGTTCCATTGAAACCAAGGAAGCTAGGAAAGTGAACTTTGAGAGTTTTGCTCCTTGGGCTGTTTTTGAACATGGTCAATAAAGAGAATTAGACTACCAGTATGTATAATTTCCAATGTAAAGCTTCGCACTTTTCTAGGAATTTTTTAATTTTTTTAGATCCTGGGATATTGTTTGGAATCAACCACTGGCATGAAGATAGACAGAAAAAAAAGAGAAGAAGCAGAAAGAGTAATGAACAGATGGAGTGTCAGGGAAGCAGAGAGATAAAAGTTGACTTACTGGTGGGCCCACGGGCCCAGAAGGACCGACTTCTCCATCTTTACCAGGGGCTCCCTAAAAGAAAACAACATAGGAAGAAGTCTTGTATAGTGCCCATATATAACAGAAAAGCATCATTTTCTGTAATCACTGCAAATAACAGTCGCACTCACTCTCTGTCCCGGGACACCTGCATTGCCTGCTTCTCCAGGTTTTCCAGGATCACCCTAAGTTGCAGAAGTAAAAAAGACTATTTTAAGATACCGTTTTCTTCCTTTAAATATATATACAAGTATTTAAAGTTAAACAGAGCTTGGGTACCAGGTGCCATACTCACACTACTGCCCTTTGGGCCAGGAAGGCCCATGCTGCCTGGCTGGCCTCTGATTCCTATGGAACCTGCTGGACCTGGACGTCCATCTTCTCCAGGAGCACCCTTCGGAGAGAAAGCATTTTGCACATTAAATATAAATATAGTTATTCACACGACCCTATTTATCCAGGGAAAGTGTTAATATATATATAAAAAAACATTAACCTGGTTTGGTGCTATAGTTATCAGTCAAAATTTCTCCAAAGCTGACACAGCTTTAGCCTCGCTGTTCAATTTAACTAAATATTATGCAACCTAGATCACTGAGCCACTACGGACAAATACTTTACCGACCCCTTGGAGAGACAGTTAGAAAATATATTTAGTTCAAAATGGTTTAAAAACATTGCAGTAGATGTTAAGCAACAGACACAGCTGCACAGACGAAACTAAAGGAACACAAGTGCACTAATTTTGGAGTCAGGAGTCTAAAGTGAACAGTTAAAAGATGAACTTTCAGAAATTAAGAAAATTCAGCTTAATAAAAGAGATTTCAATGAGCTGTGGCATTAATGGAAAGGCATAACTTTAGTGTCGCTTACCAAGGGGCCTAGTTTTCCTTCAGGCCCTTGAACACCTGGATTTCCTGTCAAACCCTGAAAGAGGGAATAATATTGGTGTGAAAGTTGTGCATATATTTCTAGAACAACAGAGAAATGTAAATAAATCCAAGAGATGCTCAGTTACTACCATAGTACAAACTCCCCTGTCTCAAAGGTCTTCATTTTACAGCTTCACCCACAACTATCTTTGATCTTCCTTTTTCCTGTTCTCCCTTTTCTTACTTTTACACCTTTTCAGCTTCTCACAGGCTTAACTTTATTTCTGTCAACAGGACACAGTGACCTCTATCACATCTGATACTTGCTGCTCCCTTTCCCTCCTGGTGTGCTATTCCAAACCCTCCTTAAATATTTTTCCTGACAAAAGTCTCTAGACGGCCCACCCCACTCAACCATGTGAAGTCATCACTGACCAGTTTAGCCAAGGTTAGCCTTCTATTAGTTTGCCCTTCAACTCACATTATTTCTGTCAACTATGTGCTTACAAGCACACTCCCCGGTCTCAATCAACTTCTCCTTTTTCAAGACAAGTGCTCCCAACATCAGCAGGAAAAAAGACAAGTATTTTGGCCTTTTCCCTTTAAGCAGCCTCACTGAAACACATCTGTCTTTCTACATCTTCTCAGTTCTGCAAAGTTCACCATTGCCTTTTGAAAACAGAAAACGCCGTGCTTTACGGAGCGTCGCGGTGAGTTCCTTACCCTTGCACCCGGGAGGCCAGGTTCACCGGGACGCCCAGGATCTCCTTGACCTCCTTTAGGACCAGAAGAACCTGCTGGACCACGCTCTCCTTGGGCGCCCTAGAAAGACACCAATGGGCTACTAGTTCACTGGTAGAGCAGTTAAATAAAAGCTAAACAAGGTATCTTTTACTAAGGACCTATTTTTGCCAACAGCGTTCCAAATCATTAATACTTTTAGTCGTACTTTTTTGCCTAAACTATTCCTTAAAAGTTGTCTCTTCCATAAAGAAAATTTGCCTAAGAATTTTATAACCCCTGGATTTTTACCGAGAAGTTAGAAATTTCCAGAAAAACAAGACAAATACATGAGGCACTTCCCCGTAAGTGTGATAATAGGAAAGCCAAAGCCAGATAAGACCATCTGTTCAAGGGATAAATCCAGAAAAACTGTCCCACACACAAAGAAAAGGTCATTTTTCAAATAGTTACCTACTATAGAGCAATACATACAGCAATATAGTAGTAGAACAGGTCAATGTTTCTGATCAATTCACATTTCAGCACGAGGAAGCATTAAGTAAGGAACAAGCAAGCAAAGCTGAACAGGACAGGAAATGAAAGTGACTTTTGCAAAAAAAAATTTAGTCTTAAAACATTCACACCCCTTTTGGGCATTTGCCGCTTCCTTTTGATTCTGCTTCCAGTGATTTTGAGGACCTGCCTATTTGCTTGTTTTTAATGGAACGCTTTCTTTCTATGTATCTGTATGTATTAAAATTTAATAAATGCCCCCAGAAAAGATGGAGAATATAATTTCCTTTACCTTTGGTCCAGGCAAGCCATCCGAACCCGGAAAACCACGGTTACCAGGAGCACCCTAGGAAAAGCCACAGATTCAAAATGGTTATCTTAATTTTTACACAAGTTACTGCAAGTACTAGATTCATGGTTTGGGGGTTCAGTTTGTTTTCTTATAACTTTTTTACTTCAGTACTATCAGCTTGGGGTTTCTACCATTTGGAGAGACAGAAATATCAGTGTT